CCGCACCGACACGTTGCTGCCCAGCGCCGGCGCGCCGCCGTCCTCCGCACGCACCCACAGCTGCAGCTCGCGCAGCTGCTCGTAGTCGAAGGAGCGCAGCGCGTACAGCGCGCCCGTCTCCGCCTGCACCGACACGAACGACGACAGCGGCGCGCCCCGCACCCGCCCCTCCGCCAGCCGGTAGCGCACGCGCGCGTTCTGCCCCCAGTCCGCGTCCGTGGCGCGCACCCTCAGCACCAGCGCGCCCGCCGCGTTGTTCTCCGCCAGCCGCGCGCTGTAGCGCTCCTCCGCGAACACCGGCGCGTTGTCGTTCACGTCCAGCACCCGCAGCGCCAGCACCGCGCTGCTCTGCAGCGCCGGCGACCCGCCGTCGGCCGCTCGCACCGTCACGTTGTACTCTGACACCTGCTCTCGGTCCAGCTCTCTCGCTGTCACCACACGGTAGTAGTCATCATAAGACTTCTCTAGGCGGAACGGGACATCCCCTTGGAGCAAGCAGCGCACATCACCGTTTGCTCCCGAGTCGCGGTCCTGCACACGTAGCAGGGCAACAACAGTTTCCGGAGGGGCATCCTCCGGGATCTCTTTCAGCTTTGATGATACACTTATTTCGGGCGCATTGTCATTCACATCAGTTACGGTGATTGTGACTTTTGCAGTGTCAAAAAGAGCTCCACTATCATGGGCCTGCACCTCCAGTTCGTACGAAACTCCTTCCTCAAAATCCAGGATCCTCGATAGTTTGAGCGCTCCAGTTTCAGTATCCAGATGGAAAATATCCGATTGCATGTCGGTCGCTTTCTTCATAGAGTACTTCACGAGCCCGTATAACCCGTCGTCATCGTCTGTGGCCGTGACGGTGACGAGGACAGAACCCACGGGCACATCCTCGGGCACACGCACCGTGTACTCCGCCTGGCTGAACACGGGCGCGTTGTCGTTCGCGTCCAGCACCGTCACGCGGATCCGAGCCGTGCCCGTCCGTGCCGGATCACCGCCGTCCATCGCCCTCAGCACCAGCTCGTGAAACGCCGCCTCCTCCCGGTCCAGCGCCTTCGCCAGCACCAGCTCGGGACGCTGATCGCCGCCGGGGCCCGCCTGCACGGCCAGCGAGAAGTGCTCGTCGCCGCTCAGCTCGTAGCTCTGCAGGGAATTCCGGGCCGTGTCTGGGTCGTGAGCTTTTGTCAGTGGAAACCTTGCCCCCGGGGTTGTTGTCTCGCTCATTCTCAGCTCTGTTTCTGCTTCTTTGAAGTTGGGTGCGTTGTCGTTTATATCTGTGATTTCTACTTCTATTTCGTAGACTTTCATTTGCCTTTCCACTATCAGTTCACAGCGCAGCACGCATTTCTGCACCCTCTGGCACAGCTGCTCTCTGTCGATTTTTTGTGCTGTCACTAAATGTCCCGTCTTCTTCTGTAAAGAGAAATACTGTGTTCTACCCTCGGAGACCACTCGGATTCCACGATCGCTGATCTCCGGCAGCTGCAGTCCCAGGTCTTTGGCCACGTCACCCACGAACGAGCCCTTGGGCATCTCCTCGGGCACGGAGTAGCGCAGCTGCCCCCACGCCGCCTCCCACGCTGCCAGCAGCACGGCCCAGAGCAGAGCTCGCTGCCGCCGGCCCCAGCGCCTCCCCGCCGCGCACATCTCGGCCGCAGCACCGCAACACTGCCGGGAGGTCTCCGCCGCCGCTCACCGATCTGGCCTCACGCTGCAGCTCCGGCGCTTCGCTCCCGAGCGCTTCTGCCAGGCTCTTCCGACTCCCTTCAGCACGTCTCGGCACCGCGGGAACGACCGCAGACTGTTCCGCCGCCGACTCACACACCGGGAGAGCGATCGAGCGGATCCGCAGCGGGCGGGGCTGCGGCGCTCCGAGCTCCTCTCGCTCCTCTCGGTCAGCAGCGGCGCCCGCAGCCTCCTCCCGGCACTGCAGGCACCG